TGTATATGTAATAAGTGTTATTGTCTCCGTTGCTAGGCAACACATTGTTTTTGACAGGATATGCACTTCTCCGAATCTGATTGATGTGAAGATATCATCTGGATATAGCCTTATGAATTTTCATTACAGACTGATGTTCCTGGTCAAATTCTTGATATTAGGAAAAATTGCCATATTTCCCTAACAACTTATATAAGAAAAGTTGGTAACTCTAATCACAAAAGTTCTTTTTGGATTCCATGTTATAATTCTCTATATCTACATCCCAAGGTCATAAAATATTATGAAACAAATACTCCCATAAATGGCAAGAATTAGTACAAGGCAATGCATTTAAGAAACATATTTTTTATCTTGATCTTAAAGGTGTAATAACGACAACATAAATGGCTTTCAGATTACATACGTCTGATGCTAAATTACATATTTCATGTGTGAACTGCATCTACCTTGAACATCACGTTGGTGAGTGGGATGGGAAAACAAGGATGCAATAATATTCAACAGAGGCTGGCTACACGTAATCATTCATTTCAAGCAGCATATGTACCAACCAGACATGTAAATATCACCGATAATGAAAAATGCCATGGTTACAGCACCGTGGACTGATTTACCCAGAATTTTGGGAGAATACCCAGTATTTTGGTCTGTAAGCGATAGCATTCTGGCGCCGACCATTGCCCAAGATCAGATGGCTTGAATCTGTCATAATCAAGCGCTGATGGTAAGGCAGATGATGAATACTGTGTTCACTTCACTGATCGCTTTCATATCTGGTCCGTCATTAATTTATAGTTAATCCTCGGTCAGTGTCATATCATGATTTATTACACACGAATATGGGGTAGATCTTGAATAAGGGTCTTACCACCTTATCTTCATTCTGATGAAAATATGGCTTTCATACAGGAAGTCATTACAAAAGTCATTTTCAACTTTTTGATGACTTCAAAGCATTGAGGAGAAACTTTCAAACTTTTAAATGCAGACATTATACTTATTGCTGACTAAAACCAGATAATTTTTTTCTGTTGAACCCTTGAGAAAATGTTTTCAAAGCAGATGCTCTTTTATCAGAGTGGCTTAACTTTTATTATTTCTGCTCTTTCTAATTTGACCCATGCAAGACTGCTGTCAAAGAAAATCTTACCAAGGATTAAGTCATAAACTTTTGAAATACTGATATCTACAGCTTCTTGCTCAAAGGTGAAGCAGATTTGTTTAGGATTCTTTGGTGCTCTGTTTATTTTTTACATCTGTATTTTTCACCTATTGTCAAAGCAGTTTCTTTTTCTTGGTTGCAAGTAGATATATGGTGGGTTCAACAATGAGGCACTCAATAATATAACATGGTGCCAAACTTGCAGGATGTGATGGATAGAACCATGGGGATACTGGGGTAGAAAATGTCTCCAGAAACCTATGCTGGTTGCAAGAGATGAGTTAATGTTTGTTTTGTTTGCTGTTTAACGCCACACTCAGCAATATTCCAGCTATATGATGGCAGTATGATTGTTTGTTTTGTTTGTTTGTTTGTTTGATGTTTAACGCCACACTCAGCAATATACCAGCTATATAGCGGCGGTCTGAGAATAATCCAGTCTGGACCAGACAATCCAGTGATTGACATCATGAGCATCGATCCACACTATTGGGATACGATGACATGCATCAACCAAGTCAGCGAGCCTGACCACCCGATCCAGTTAGTCACCTCTTATAACAAGCATATGGTTCGCTGCTCGTAATATCAATCACTGGATTGTCTGCCACAGACTTTTTATTTATCAGACGTTGTCATATGACTGGAATATTGTTGAGTGTGAGTGAGAGAGTTGGGTTTAACACTGCTCTAGACAGTATTCCAGTTCAAGCATGGCGTTTCAACTTAGTGTGGGAGGAAAGCCTGAGGTGATACAGGTCTCAGATGTTTACCACTTTAGTGAAACCTACGAATATGGGTATGGTGCTAATAAATTAAGAAACATTTTTGGGACAAACCGAGATTCCAACCCACAATCATGGGTGTCTGGCAATGACCCCTTCTGAGTGTGATATTATGACAACAAACAAAACAATAAACAGTATGAATGTTATTACACAGTTTTTTTCCGAAACCATTACGTAATGGCTAACAGTTGTTGCTTCTTAAAGTTAGCAGAAGAACAGAATAAATATTCCTTAAATAAGGTTAAAAGAGCCCCCCCTCCCAAAAAAATTATTTTGTTTAAATAACATAAAAAATCTAAGGTGATTTTCATTCCTTAATCTTTTTCCTATTGAAAATCAGAAAGAGACAAATTTGTTTGGGGCTGAGTATGTTCAAGGAGTTGAACAAATATTCTCAGTACTGGTCTTATTAATTGAATAATTGGGAACTCATCAAAACTTGGGTAGTTGACAAGCGGTCAGACGCAAACAAGAATCTCTACAAATGTAGACCCATTCCTGCTGGATTGTCATTTGAGAAAAGAGTTTGCATCAATTTCCAAATTTCCCGAAGGAGAACAACTCTTAATGTTGAAGCAGCTAACTCCATTTAAGTCAGGAAAATAAATTGGACAAGAGATTATGTCCAAACACAGTCAGTATGTTGCTGACAGATGCCCCCCAGGGAGCTGAGCCGGTATAGTCTCTAACACCCTATTTCGTTACAGATCCACTGTGGCTATGTGGCATGATGAATGTGAAACTGTTCTTAAGCATTTATTCTATTAATTTTGGTTACAGGATTTTATTTGCAGCTTAACTATTCGCACGTGTACAGCTGTTTGTATTAGGATTATTGATTATTGATATACACATTGATGTGTATGGGCCAGCTCTGTGGTCTAGTGGATAGAGTGGTTGTCTGGAGAGAGGATGATTGATGGTTTGAATCCCCCGCCCCTTCATACCAAAAGACTTTAGAAGATGGTACTTGCTGTTCCCTTGCCTGGCGTATGGTATTTATCAATGAAACAAGGAATGGTCGGCTTGGGGGTTTACACGTAATGTGTCTGAGTGGGGTTTCTACGTTAAACTGCAGCATGGTGTCTCAGTGGGCTAGCACTATAAAACCAGCATTTGTCCAGACTTCCGCAGCCACACACACTCGCAGCAGCATGCACGCACGCACGCACGCACGCACACATGCAAACATGCAAACACAAGCTATACAAGTGAAACAATCTTGAAAGTGATGTTAAACCCCATTTCACCTACACCTGGGCCCCTTAGCACAAATCGATCTTAGCGCTACGATTATCGAAAGTCTTTGTTAAAATATGGGAGTTACGATCGTCTTAAAGCTAAGATTGTTTATGCAACGGGGCCCTGGTGTATATGACGGTATTTTATGTGTTCTTTGAATTCCAAATGACATGTATGACCAGTTATTTTCGAAGTAATCAAACACAAATTCATTACAGACGCTACAAGCAGCGTAAAAGGCAACCTATGTATTGTGACCCAATTACATGGAACGATGCTTTAATGTCAATACTTTCAGACTGCTGTGATGTATCTGGGATATTGCTTAGTGTGGCATTCAGCAACAAACAAACAAACTACAAGGATAAGTTCAAGCCTATTAACTAACTCATTTGGGACATGAGTAGCTACTAATATGTTGAACATGTTAATCAGAATAAGATTTTTTGAATATTTAATTCTACTTTGGATTAAAATGTTGGATATTAGCCATATTTAACTAAGTGCCCACATCTACCCATTATGCATGTAGTGAGATTTGCACAGCTATACCTCAAAGTGGATTATGTGTTATTAATATCCTAAGTCAAATATGATTGAAATAAACTATTGAAAATATGCTGTCATGTAGATCACTTTTCACTTTAATCAAAGCTCCAAAACCCTTTCAATAATCATGTAAATTCTCCGCTAACAGCTGTGTCCATTGTACCATTCCGACTCTATCATGAGCACGTGTTTATGACTCACTGTCAAACAGTGATGATACCAGGTTTTCATGAAAAAGTGAGCATTTCTTCCCAAACCTCACATGTGGCACCATCACAAACACATGAAAAGGCAAGTCAATTGTTCACCTTGAAAAACACAGGAATATATGGTACATGTCGACTTAGGGAATAACATCAGAGGTGAGGTGAAATTGGGTTTAACGTCGCGTCCAAGATTATTGCACTTATATAGCGACGTGTATGCACGTGTGTGTCTGTGGCTGCTTGTACTAGTCCGGACTGATGCCGATTTATAGTGCTAGCTCACTGAGATACCATGCCGCAGTTTAACATGAATACCCCACTCAGACACAGTATACTGACTCCGAGCCGACCAGTCCTTGTTTTAGCCCCTTAATGTCGAGCTCCAGACAGGGTTACAACAAGTACCATCTTTTAACGTCTTTTGGTATGACGCGGCCGGGGATCGAACCCCGGACCTTCCGCTCTCCGGGCGGACACAATAACATCAGACATGATTGTATGAGATACTCCTTGAAGTCTTCGTAGAGAGAGCATGCTGGACTGTATCTCAATACTTGCACCAATGGCTGCTGGAATATTGCAGCTATTGAAAGTTGACTAAGTGGAAAGTTGAAGTCAACCCTCTTGCCATACTGTCTTGTGGTCACTGAATCTATTGATAAAACTGTCTTATTGTATCTTCTTTTGTGTTCATCCCATAGGGGAATTCAGGTGGAGCAAGCATCCCCAGTAATGTAGTGCCTAACAAAAAAAGTGCGTGCGATGGAGGGTGCAAAGCAAAAAACTTGAGATTAAAATTTATTTATATGTTTTTACTTTAAACTCATGTGAATCACCTGATGTATGATATTCAGTAATATAGTTCTCTGTCATGTTTTATTTGAACAAATATCAGTGACTCATTTTTCTGTTTTCTTTCAGAATTATTGATTATTCAAGCATTCTCATCTTCTTTTCTTTCAGAAATCATATACTGGCAGAGCTTCAATTAGAGTTGATTGAACACTGAAATTATGTCCAAGTTTCTCAATATATCATTCTCTTTTTCAGAATTTAACTGCAATAAAGAGATCAACAGCCAGATCCACGCAAACGGCACAATACAAAGTCCCTTCCACCCCAGCCCCTACTCTGCTGGTGTGACCTGTACCTACACATTCACTGGAGTCGGACGCGAGAGGGTGCAACTCAAGTTTGTGCATATGGATTTATTTTTCAATGGAGGAAATCCAACAGAACCCCTTGAGTAAGTTACTTTTTAATCTGTTGTTTTTAAACTTGACGAGGAGTATTAAGAACTTATTTATTATGCATAAACTACATTTCAAGGCTACTTATTTCTTGCCACCCATGAAGATGCTTGTTGGAATAGGTCTTCAGCAACCAGTCCTTGTTGTAAGAGGTGACTAACGGGATCAGGTGGTCAGACTCGCTGACTTGGTTGATTCATTTCATCGTATTCCAATTGTGTTGGTCGATGCTCATATCAATCACTAGATTGTGTGGTCCAAACTCGATTATTTACTGACTGTCATCATATAGCTGGGATATTGCTGAGTGAGCGTTTAACAAACTTCTTGCCTATTCATCAGGTGCTTTGAACTACTCTGCAGCACCACACTTATGGTAGGAGAAGGGTATTGGGTGGACACAATGACTGCTCTGTGTGGGTAGTACTTGGACGAGAGATCATTCGAGAAGACACTGCATAACATAAGTTTGCAGTGTATGTTGACAAGTCAGTTTAATTTTGGAGGAAATACTGAATCATTGCAGATCTTTGAAAGTTAAAACCATTTGTAAAGAATACAATGCTGATAAAGCTATGATCATAATCAAGGCAAATCCAGGATATGAACCCATGGTCAGTGGATCCTTGCTGTTCAAAGGGATGCAACTCTGCACATTGAATTGCAGCGATTTCTACCCCTCGGCCTCACATACTCTGCTGATCACCTCTTCAAATATTACTTTTTTCCAAATCTCATTAATGACCTTGAAACTGAAGATGAATGGATGTATTTATGCCGTCTTCAAAGAACTGGGCGTAATAAGTGACCTTTTTAACTCTCATGATCTGAGAGGAGTCTTTGACAGGCAGTTAGAAGTTGGAAGAATGTGAAGACACGAAACTCTTGGGTAACAACCTCTTTATTCTTTGAAACAACATTTCAGGCTACTTCTTGCCTCTTCATCATGTGATGAAGTAGCCATAAAACAATGAATAACAAAGAATAAAGAAGTTGTTCTCCGTAACAAATTCATGTCTTCACTGTCTGAATAATGAAAGAAATGAGCACATTGTTTAGAATTGTTATGAGCTATCTACCTCCATGTACATATAAATTAGTACTAGACTTGATTTCAACACTTGCATGTTTTTTACTCTTAACAACACAAAATTAAAAATCAGATGTTATTTTTTAAATACTTGAACAAGAGCAAGTCTTTGATCCAACCTGATTTTCTTTGGAGTTGCTGTTAAAGATATGGTAAAAAATCACCTTGTGTCACGAACTAATGCTCTTCAGTTAGAATTTCTCCTGAAGTCAGACATTTTCCTCATTTTAACAATTCCTGTGCACTTGAACGTACCAGATGTAAAAACCATGCAAGTGTAAGAAAGAAAAAGTTACCAACCATTTGATAAGTTTCATACTGTTATTACAAAGTTTTCCTTAACTTTTAAATTTGACACTTCCTGTGTGCCAAAAATGTTTTTATCCGACCTCGTCCTTTATAAGACTACAATAGAGAAATAATTACAACCACCATGGCGCCATTGGAAAGAGTAACATCATTCATCATTACTGCAATATGGTGGAAGTTGTTGATCAGTTACCCTGTATCAAACGCAATGATTAATTGTAGGTGTCCCTTAGTGATATAATCAATTTAAAAATACTATATGATATCAAATTTTTATTCAAAATGTTCAGTCATTCCTTTGATCTGCAACTGATTACACATTCATCATCAATATGCAACCGATCAATTATTTTCATTTATGGGCTAAAGTTCTTGAAATTTCCAATAAAAATCTTTGACATACCATTTCTGCAAAATACAAACATGAAAAGATTAATGATGATTGATCTGTTGGAATCTTCCTATCGGGAACAATGATTGATAAAATGCCAACATATTGTCAGTAGGGATTCCAAGTTAGAATTGGTCTCCACTGATCTAATGGATCGGCTGGTGAAGCTCGGTGACTTGGATGACAGTATGTCAACCTACCCCAACAGCATATCAATCACTGGTTTGCCCGGTCAAGGCTACGATATTTTCAAACAGGGGTGGTGGGGTAGCCTGTTGGTTAAAGTGTAGGCTTGTCACGCTGAAGACCCGGGTTCGATTCCCCACATGGATGTCTCCCGCCATGATATTGCTGGAATATTGCTAAAAGTGGCGTAAACCATACTCACTCACTCACTCACTCACTCACTCACTCACTCACTCACTCACTCACTCACTCACTCACTTTCAAACAGCCAATACATGCCTGAAACATTGATGAGTGCGATGTTAACAAACAAACGTTATAAAAGGAAAACATTTTAGTATTTCACTGATGATTTATAATTGACCTTAACCTTTGTTCACCTTGACCCTTTCAGCTGTGCTGGGTCAGATTCCATCAAGGTCACAATACCTCTGAGTGGGAAGGTCGTGGAACTGGGTGTGTATTGTGGGAAGAAGCTGCCGCCTGTTCTGATGTCTGCGGGGACAAAGATGACGGTGCAGTTCCACAGCGAGTCCTCATCCAAGGGAATGACAACCGGCTTCAAGGCTGTTTACAGTTTTGTCAACAGTGTGTACAGTGGTTTTATTCCTTAACAGATTGAATCAGTGTGCCTCGTTCCCATGCATGTCAAGTCCATGTCTAGACACTGTACTGTGCGTGCCTTGCGTGAAACAAAGAAGCAGTTTTCTTTAGGATTATTGGAACCTGTTTTTGTTAGATTAAGCTAGATATCAAAGTTACATCAATAACGCTTTATGGTACCACAACATACGTCATCCCTTGAAGACATTGGGCATATCTGTGGTGTAGAGCTGACACTTGTCTAGTTTCAGTCAGCTAATGACATGAGGCCATGTATAAGTCATGGAAGTCAAATGAGCCTTCCATGCATGATGGACTTTGTGGAACCCAGCTGTGACCTGACATTTGAGCACTGTGTAGAGCAGATGCTGCACGGTCCACACTGTACACTGAGTGGGGAACATTGCCGCTTGTTCAGTGTAAACTGACTGGCCTCTGTACTATTTGTTTTCCTTCACACAGCAACCAGGCAGTTGCTTGATTTGTTGGTTACATATTGTCACTACACTGAAAAATAGCCATATGTATTCATGAGTGATGGAGGAATGTAGTTGGGTGATGGTGGAACGTTGTTGGGTGATGGAGGAACGTAGCTGGGTGATGGAGGAACGTAGTTGGGTGATGGAGGAACGTAGCTGGGTGATGGAGGAATGTAGTTGGGTGATGGAGGAACAGAGTTGGGTGATGGAGGAACATAGTTGGGTGATGGAGGAACATAGTTGGGTGATGGAGGAACATAGTTGGGTGATGGAGGAATGTAGTTGAGTGATGGAGGAACATAGTTGGGTGATGGAGGAACATAGTTGAGTGATGGAGGAATGTAGTTGAGTGATGGAGGAACGTAGTTGAGTGATGGAGGAATGTAGTTGGGTGATGGAGGAATGTAGTTGGGTGATGGAGGAAAGTAGTTGGGTGAAGGAGGAACGTAGTTGGGTGATGGAGGAATGTAGTTGAGTGATGGAGGAACGTAGTTGGGTGATGGAGGAACATAGTTGGGTGATGGAGGAACGTAGTTGGGTGATAGAGGAACGTAGTTGGGTGGTGGATGTACATAGTTGAGTGATGGAGGAACATAGTTGAGTGATGGAGGAACATAGTTGAGTGATGGAGGAACATAGTTGAGTGATGGAGGAACATAGTTGGGTGATCGAGGAACGTAGTTTGGTGATCGAGGAACATGGTTGAGTGATGGAGGAATGTAGTTGGGTGATGGAGGAACGTAGTTGGGTGATGGAGGAACATAGTTGGGTGATGGAGGAACATAGTTGGGTGATGGAAAAATGTAATTGGGTGACAGGAATGTAGTTTGGTGATGGAGGAACATATTTGGGTGATGGAGGAACATGGTTGGGTGATGGAGGAACAGAGTGTATACAAACCTGTGAAGTATCAACAATGAGTTAATAAAGTTGATAAGTGTTATTTCAATGAACTGCTGCAGCTCTTGACTCTAGGCATCATTACTTGGTTATGTTCAGAACAACCTAACTGTGAGGATTCCAGAACAGAATGGGCATATTTAAAATAACTGCCGGCCTGCTATCCTTTGGCCAGTAATTCAGTGAACACACATGTCATCATCATAGCTAATATCATCACTGTAATAATTATGTAAAGAGAGACGAGACTCAGCCCATTGGCAGCCCTTGCAAGTTTGAAGTCAGTCATGTAAACACCAATTTGATTGTCTATTAACTGTAATTGTATGAAAATATCAAGTCAGCAGTTGGTGATTACCATAACAACAGGCGACAATGTGTCAGTTTCACACAGGCGCTAATTACAGTGTCTAGACCAGGGCTTCAGGTCTTGGAGAATAGTCCCACATTGATCTATTATGGTATGTCTTCATATTATATAGTATATAGTACAGAGTTCATTGTTTAACAGTTGAATCATCAATGATTACAATCTTTGAAACAGTAGGGTGCTCTATAAGAGTTATTGGTCTGTCTATCTGGTTTCTTCTTCGAGAGGCATTTAAAAGTTGGAGTTCTAAGTAAGGATGAGATATATGGATGAACATCTTTATTAGAATTAGGAGCGATGTTTCGGTGTAGGTTCTAACACTGTTATCAAGCAGATGATCTTCACTTACTTGATGATGTTAGAACCCACACCATCACTTTCTTGATGACGGTGTCAAAACCTACACTGAAACGTCACTCCTAATTGTAATAAAGAAGTTGTTCATCCATATATCTTATCTTTACTTTGTCTATCTTGTTTTTGATATTTCATGGACTGACAAATAGGATCCAGTACCTCATGGTCGTAAACACATGGGTAAATTGGGATAAAGTGGTTAAGGTATATGACATTATGTATTGCTAATGGTGTGCCATTGGACATTAACATCATAGATTGCTGCTCATATACCTTCAACCACTGGTTTGAATGTTGATGCAGGATCTGTGATGTAGCTGTAATATTCTTGACCATCATGCATATAACTGACAATATGTTTTTGTTTTCATCTAGATTTCGGAATATCAACTGGTGAACGAGACAGCAGAGGAGGTGAGTATCACAATAAATGATTGTCATTATGTCATTGCATGCTTATCGTAAGAGGCGACTGACGGGATCAGGTCCTCAGGCTCGCTGACTTGGTTAAAAATCTTGGTTGCTCACAACGAGATCAAGCTTTGTCTTGTTTACTTCTCCTGGGACATATTACTGATAAATGATAATTATTTGGATATTTAACTTCTGTAATAAATATATAACCACTCAGCTCTTTGCCATCAAGCTCCAAAGAGTTATCTCCCTTGGTAGTAATTTTGCAAGAGCAGGGATGGTTCTGAGGGAGAGTTTGCATTCATAGCAGGTTCCTGGAGATGACTACATTGGAACTGCGGAGAAATTATCACTGATGATAACCAAATTGGTTTAGTCTCGATATCCAAATGTCTGATTTGATTAAGTAAGGGACTGGTCATTTATTACAGGAGGGGGTGGTCAGAGGAAATTGGGAGGGTCAACAACAAATAATACACATATTTTAATAAATAGGGAGAGTCATGAAAAATGGAGAGTTTATAATACAATATAAAGTTCTTTTGCATTTTGTGTATTCAGGGAGGCTCATGAAAAAAATGTGCAAGGACATGGTCGGGTAATCTAAAAATATGACACGTGTTAGGGGAGGGGATTATTTTCTGTACAGTTTTGCATCAAAAATCTCATTTAAGAAATGAATGGTTGCCATGTTAATTGCTTCTTACCTAATCAGGGAGACTGCTATGTTCTATTAATGTAATTATATTTAAGCGGAACTACTATGCTACAGCTGTGTTTGAAAGTATAGAAATATGTTGCTTGAAGGAGGATTATGAAATATTTATCAAAACTAGATGTCAGCTATTGATTATATTACAGAGCAGGATATTGACAATGACTTTCATAGTTCAACTCCATTGTAAGAACTTTCCAAAATATGCAGTAGAACCCTGTATGCCAATCAGGTTATTTTTCAAAAGAAAATGGGTCTGTGCCACAAACTGATTTTAGCGCTATGACTGTGATATGTCTGTGTTAAGCCTTGGGGGTATGACTGTCCTAGCCCTAAAATGCCTTATGGAATGGGGTCCTTGTTCTTGATTACAAGAAACAATCAAAAATGCTCAAAGTCCACAAAAACAATAAAATGAAATCCTGCTGGACTGTTTTGATATGTTTGTTTATTGTTCAACAATGCTTTCAGCAGTATTCCAGCTATATGACTGCAGCCTTTAAATTAGTGAGTCTGGACCAGACAATCCAATGATTGATATTATGAGAACAATTCATGCCATAGGGGTACAATAAGATGCCATCTTCCAAGTTACTGAATCTGACCACTGAAACATTACAGTCCTCATCCAGAATCCCCACAGGGGTGTTTTGATACAAGCAGTGCCTGGAGCAAAGACTTATGTTTGACATGCTCACTCTCTTAAGATCAATGTTTGACATGTTCGTTCCATTAAGACCAATGTTTGATGTGCTTATTCCAATAAGACCAATGTTTGATGTGTTTGTTCCAATAAGACGAATGTTTGATGTGCATGTTCCAATAGGACCAATGTTTGAAGTGTTTATTCCATTTAGACCAATGTTTGATGTGCATGTTCCAATAAGACCAATGTTTGACGTGTTTGTTCCATTTGGACCAATGTTTGATGTGCATGTTCCATTAAGACTAATGTTTGACTTGTTTATTTCAGTGTGTGTATTCAACTACTACAGCCAGCGCGAGTCCCACGGAACCTTCACCTCCCCCAACTACCCAGGCTTGTACCCTCGCAATACGGAATGCCACTACCTGTTTTATGGCAAAGGAAAGGAAACCGTCCATATACAGTTTCCAGTATTCCAAGTTGAAGGCATTGGCCCGAGGTGATTAAGACCCTGCTGGATTTGACATTGTTTTATACAAAATGGAACATCTTTAACCTGAAGCCCTAACCTACATTTTAGACAACAAAAACACCTTTATTTCAAGTTAGAGGGGGGCGGTCGGTTAGCCTAGTGGTTAAAGCATTCGCTCGTCACGCCGAAGACCCGGGTTCGATTCCCATCATGGGTACAATGTGTGAAGCCCATTTCTGGTGTCCCCCGCCGTGATATTGCTGGAATATTGCTAAAAGCGGCGTAAAACCATACTCACTCACTCACTCAAGTTAGAGGCCACAGGCCCATAGAACATAACATTATAGGAATACAATTACTGATAAAGTGACTTATACATTTCATTGCATTCAATATGAATTTTGATAGCTGTACAATAGTAGGTTTATGATTAGATGACATCAGACGAACAAAGAATTCCAGTGACGGATTTACAAAGTATTTAGGATCAATGTAGCTATATCTTAAATTATTAAAAGCAGGGCATACAAGTGCAAAATGATATTCATTTTCCTTTGGACTAATATTTAATCGAAGACAATATCTACACAAGCGACATTCTGGATCGATGCCTTTGCGTCTGCCCATTTCGATCATCAACTGATGACAGCCACATCTAAATCTTGACATTTTAGACAACAAACATTCAGTAGAACATGGATATAACGAACTACAAGGGAACAGAGAAGTCAGTTCGTTATATACGTTTTCGCTCGGAAACGTCCGGCATATGGGATAAAACAAAAACACAATAGTCATAATTGCAGCATTGACTTGTATCAGTAGTGATCACTTCATAGCATTCAACTGATAACATTTCATAACATTCATTTAAGTTGAACAAGGTTGATCCGTCACCGCTGATTGTATTGATTCGCCGCGATTGTGTTGATTCACCGCTGATTGCGTACAGCCAATTGTTAGTGACACTTGACACTGAGTGAGATTTCTTAGTTCCCTATACACGTCGCTACTTAGTGGTAGATCGGCTTGTCTGGGATCAGATATCAGTTCGCTGTATCCGTTAGTTTGCTGTAGAGAGTTTGTTACCGGGGTATATACGTACATTTTATATGATATTATATAGGAGATAAATCAGGGATTTTTTAACAGTTCGTTGTATCCGTTTCTTCACTCTATCCGTGTTCGTTATATCCATTTTCTATTGTATTTGTTTTATTATGTTTTATTTAAGAAATAAACGAGTGGGAGTTGTTTATCGTACAATAAAATACTGCTGGTAGAATAAACACTGCAGTATTTTATTGTACAATAAACAAGACCACAAGTCGTTTTCTTCTTATATGAGAGAATCAATTTTTTGTACAGCCTCTTAAGGGATGTTAATAAAATGTACAAGCTTTAAAAATATTTACCCATATTTTAATAATGATGACTCCCTGAATAGACTCTGGCATTGGCAATGTCGGACAAGTCCATTCATCAGGGGTGTTACATTTGGATGTAATTTGCACATAGATTATCTGTACCTTTCCTAACAACACCGATTGTCATATCTCACCCACTTTTGGATGTGATCGTTCGGCCGTTGCATTTATCTACATTGCCACGTTACATCTACGGGGAACAACTCAATAGACACCTCCCTGTCTTAAAAAAAACATCATCCAATTTACAGTCATCAAGCTGTGAACGCATGTTCAAATCTCCAGAAATAATGTCATGATAGAACAATGTTTTATCGTGAAATTGACAATGCTTCGTTCTTCATTGTACGTGTATAGTTACCGGTACATATCTGGATAACCTAAACTTGTTAATCCAGAATGTTGTGATGGAACTGGTTGGATTATTGTTGTTCTGCTGTACAAAGGATTGATCTTGAACAAATATGTTGCATGTTTTGAGTAAAATGATAAAATCTCATTTGATTTCAAATTAATACTGTCATTATAATAATAATTAATGATAACTTTAATCATCTTTTTGCTGTTGTGATATGGTTGTAATTAGGGCTAGGACGAATCCAAATTTACTACCCAGGTACCCTCTGTAGGTTTCAAGAGTTGGTTAAAAATTGGGAATTGTTTTACTACAGCATTGCCAAAATTATTTTGGATACACATATGACTATCTCATCATGCATACACAGAAGTTGACTAAAGCTTATCTTCACTCAAACATATAAGGAGAAGAAATGAATGCTTATCCTAAAGTCATGTGAATAGTAGGGTCTTGTACATCTTCCCGAGGCAAGAGAGTTAACTGACTTTAAAAGTCCAGTTTCCACCCTTGCCGAACTAGGCTGGAATTACTGGGCTCGATCGTAGCGCCACCAGTGACTATTACCAGTTATGTTCCTTCTAAGTCTCTCCTATGGACAAATCAGATTCCACCTCTCGTATCACTTGCGTTTGCTTCACACAAAATGGTGGCGCCCAGTCAAGACAATCTGATCAATGATCAAGATCTATATTGTGATAAAACGGGCTTTACATCGCGAAATGCATCAAATCACGTGAGCACCTTGATTAAAAACGTGAAAAGGTTTGGAAAATATCTACTCACAACGAGTTGGCGGTGCACATGCTTTGCAAATCCTGCAATCGACCGAAACTGCACGACAGTTTACGAACCGGATTTCGATTTCGGTGCACGATTTTGATTGGACTATGCATAGACTCGTTAGTCCAGCCAAAATGTAACTCCATAATACCAGGCTAGTTTGGCAAGGGTGGAAACTGGACTTTTATAGTCACTTAACTCTCTTGCCTCGGGAAGATTGGTCTTGTAGGGTAATCATGCAGTTTTATTGTTATTGTCATTAAACAATACCTCATGTGACCACCAGTCTGGGTAGTCCTGTGGGTACCTGGGTCCCACTCACGACCCACCCAACCTGAGTACCCGAGCTACCCATCCCAGTCCTAGATGGAATATCACAAACTATGTTTTATAAAGAGAAAATAAACACATAAACCATGTTGCAATGAATTTTTCATCCTTTCAGATGTGATGAAGGAACTCACAGTGACTACGTCTCCTTTTCTAACTTTGCCGATTCAGAGGACAGGAAGTTACATAGACTGTGTGGAGCAAGCTCCGAGGGGAAAAAGGAGTCCATCGAGTCGGACGGACCCTTCTTTAGAGTAGTGTTCAAGTCAAATGATGTTTATGATGATGAAGGATTTTTTGCATACTACCAGTTCAAAGGAACAGATAACCCCATAACACCCGTCAACAATGGAGACGATAATTCAGGTAAGATGAATTCTTGGACAGTGGTCAGTTATGTCAACATCGGTCCTTTCTTTGGGATCTTGCCCACTGACATTGTGCTGGTTATATATTGTGTTTTGTGTTACTGCGTCCAGTTCCGAATTTTTTTCGGTACGACTTTGGTAAATCTATTGTAGAGCATAGCAGTTACTTTTGTCATAGAGCTGTGATCGCTTTGTGGAATGGGGCCTTGGAAGAACTTCGTACACAAAATGTTTGTAGGGCCAGTTTCTTCACGCTATCTTAGCACTATGACTGTCTTTTAGAGATAGGCTTAGGTGGGCAGAATGCGCTCACCTTTTTCATGAACACCTGCTATTGTAAGCAACGATTATATCCTACCTAAATATTATCCCAGGGTTAAATTTGGTCTTTTCTGCATTTTCATATAATTTGCACCTTGATTATCTGTACCTTTTCTCCCAATACTGATTGTTATATCTCGCCTACTTTTGGATGCGATCGTTCGGTCATTGCGTTTATCTACGTTGCCCAGATACATCTATGGGGAATAGCTCACTGGACACCTCTTTCTAAAAAAATAACGTTGTCCAGTTTAGGACATCATCAAGTTGTGAGCACATGTTCGAATCTCCAGAAATTAGTTCATGATAGAACAATGTTATTTATGTCCCAATGAAACATTGTTCTATAATGACATCATTTCTGCTTAATTCTTCACTGAAATTTATCATGTATCTTATATCGGCCTATAATGTGTTCATGTCTTTTTTTCAGGTATGATGCATCGATATGACAGACCTAGTAGTGGCTCAGGTCAGAGGTTATCGACAAGTTCACTAATCATCTGTCTCCTGACCCTTGCCTTCCTTGCTCACAAGGTCAACCACTGACCTGACCTCCTGACCTTGAACTATGACCTCCAACCTCTGCCATCTTCAAGGAATGTGAAAAAATATAGTGTCATGTTCAGTTTGGGCCTCTACTACAATTGTCTAATGATAAGACAGGTTATTTAAGCTGGTTTTGTTCAATATGCCTATATTATATGCTAATGCTTACTATAATGCCTTGCATGATTTCCCTTTTGTTTGACATTAAATACCATGACCTCATTATGTAAATATATTCAAAGTTCATATGCCTTATTGTTATTTGGATCATTTATTGCTGAAAGTTAGTGAATGTTTTTCATTATCATGATGGTTTTATTAACATATTGAAAATTTAAAAAAACGCTACAATATTTTCAATGCTTAAGACGCTGACCATTTTCACAATAGACACAAGCCATCTGATATTCAGATGCTGTTTCTATGGCCTGCAATTAACATATGATAAGAACATCCTGGAATTCTTTCCTCTAAAAACAGAATGAAAAGGTTTGGAAGCAAAGCCAGCAATTATGATTCCTGTAAGACATGAAATATAAAAATGTTGCATTTTAATATTTAAATATTTTATTGGGTCATTGTTTTTGGGGCTGCATGAGTCCTTCAGAACACATTCTTTATCCTAAAATGCAATTTTATACAAGTCCTTGTTTGTAAATGGTCCACACTCTCATATTCTGAAATATATAAATTTATATTTCAGAAAACAGTGTGTTAAATATTAAGTCAATATAAATTGACATAACTTTATGATTTTTTAAGGAGTTTTGAATTGACATGCTGTTATTATATTTTGAAATAAATTTGTCTAACATTTAAAAAAAAACCATGGTTTGGGGAACTCAAAATGCCCCTGTACAGTTCAAGAACTGAAACTTGGAGAATATGTAGTTTTCATTTTCCGAACTACCACACATTTGTATGCATACAAGGGCACGATGTAAATACCTATTTTAAATGCTGCTGTCATTGAAGTGATGGCTGAACCAGAGAAGTATCTTGTTTTTGTCATCCGATGTGTTTATCAATATGTCTCAGTTATGTAATCCTCCCAACCAATGAGGATTAACTATCAGGTCAGCTGACTGCTGATCTTAACTGTGATTGGTTGAAAGTTGTCAGTGTTACAAGTGATACACCACAAACTTGCCTTAAATATCACCAGATGTGACAGGAATTAGAGGGGTCATATCAAAAACTTCACATGTCTTTTTCAAAAAGTATATTATACTAAACATGATTTCGATGCTGGAATGCTGTAGTGTGCTGAAACATTCATTTTTAGTGAAACATTTAAATTCATGATTTCAATATATATATATTTACCAACATTTAGAAAAAGACATGCAAGAGTTTTGTGACGGTCCCTAGACGCATGATTACCAAGTGTACATATGCCAAGTGAAATACTGGTAATTAGACATGCTGTTTCTTGTAACATAAACAAAATTGTGACAACATGCTAGTATATGTAGATATATAGCCTAGTGACATTTGAGTCTTTGCTGTGGTGTATGCCATCAGAGAGCTCAGAGACCGTGTATGTCGGCATACACTCTCTGTATAGCATCAGCGTTAATTTGCACCTACATGTTGCAGAATGAATGTATAAGAGAAGCACTACAATTGACAAATGTAGGTGTAGTCCTGTAGATAATATGCTTTTTTGCTTAAGTCAAGTCTTTTTAACCCATTTTAATTGATACATGATGTCAAATTGATTGTACATGAGAAATTGTTGAATCAACATAAGGTTTTCAGTCATGTTCATTTTTCACTGAAAAAGAGAAATATATATATAACTGTTACATGAAATCATCACAGTGTCAGGCTGAAATGATGTATTCTGTTTAAAATACTGTTTATTTATGACAATTGGAGAATTATGTGCATGAAGTCTTTTCATGCTTGCTTTTGTGGATTGGGGATCTGATGAGATGTTTTCAGGTTGCTAGAACAGTTGTGCTCAGGTTCATTAACAATAGCCCCTCTTAGATTACACCCCACCCACCCCACCTTACCCCAACCCCATCCCACCCCTCACCACTCCCCTACCCCACCCATCATTCCCCCACCCCTCATCTTGGTGTAAGAACATAATGAAAGTGATCACTTTCTATTTCATGAGATATGTGCTTACAAGTGCAAGACCAGTTTATCACTGAACATAGTATTTTTTGTGGCCCATTTATTTTTGGTATACTGATGTAGACTTTCATCTACACACTTGCGTGAACAACTAAGCATGTTCAAATTAACTCAGCACCCTCATTCACTGATGTGTGGCACTGATCGTGATGTCACAGTTTGTCATCAGTTTGTGTGCACAAAGATTTCGATAATTTCCACACAGCAGTATCTCATTTTCATTACTGAGGATATCAATGTGTCATAATCATCATAACAACCGATTTCATACAGACTGGTTTATGGATTTCAGTGCACTGCAACATCTTTGTGACATATAAGGGTAGTGAATATCCTTTGTTCAGTGTGAAATGTCTGCATATTACCAGTATGTTGGTTATGAATGTCATATTTTTAGTTGGTTTTCCATATCAATTTGAATTCATATAAAAAATGAAACCATCTGGACACTGATCTTGCACTTTTAAGAAAAAGCAAGGCTTCGATCCAACTATATTCATGCCCAAGTTAGGTCATCACCCTCCCCTTCAAACCCATTCTCCTTTACCTTATGTTCTAAGTTGAATTCTGTTAAAGATCCCACAACCTTATCCGTAAACAGCTCTCAAACAATTTATGAAAACACAATTTTTGCTATTGATTTTATTTTAATGTAAGAAAAATGAACTTCTCCTTGTAAGCAGCAGTGTAATGGAGGGCAGGGGGTAGTTCGATGATCTATATTTGGATTTGGGGATTTTTGTTTGAGAGTTTGTTTGTCAATCCATCCTCCAAGACAAATGAGGAGATAGAGATGAATGAAACAAGGAGTCCAATAGGGCTGGGATGGGTAACTGGTCGGGTTTATCTTGAGTAGGACCTGGGTACCCACAGGACTATTCAGACCCATGATTAGTCATGTGAGATGTCGTTTAATGGCTGTAGCAATTAAAAAAATTGTTCATGGTTATACCCCCTGTACACTGTATTTTTGGGGGAAAATGTCCACATTATACATACACAAAAAACAATATTTGTTTATAATCTGATTGTGAATAATGTAGTGGACGAATGTCTCTGTGAAGGCCGATGTACATCAGGTTCCCAGGTAGTAAATCTGGACTTGTCCCAGCCCTAGAGTCAAATATTATTTTTGGACCCAAAACACATTCAGAAACATTTTGGAAAATGACAAATTTATTTTTCAAATTCCCATGCTTTGCACACGCGGACACACATTCACACGCACACACATTCATGCACGCATGCAAATCTCACACACAAACACACACACACACACACACACACACACACACAAAAGACGTTAAAAGATGGTACTTGTTGTTACCCTGCCTTGCGCTGTCATTAAGGGGCTAAAACAAGGGGACTGGTGGCTCGGAGTCAGTATACTGTGTCCGAGTTGGGTATTCTCACACACACACACACACACACACACACTCCTCCTTCCTTTCCCTTCTTGCACATTGATCATAACATTTAACCCACTTACAACTTCGATAACCCTTCAGTCACAATTTGAGATTTGTTTATGTGGAATCCCTAGGAAGTGTTGATCAATAGATCAATAGACGTCGATTGCACCTTCATGCAGCATTTTCTCGATGAGAACAAAACACATTGTACTCATGAACTCAAGGAATTATATGTATGAAAATGTTGATTTTAGAATTTATACTCATGTCAGAATGTTGATTTATACGCATGTCAAAATGAAGTCAGATGTCGATTTATGCTGTTGGAGCTGTTGTACCATGTCGAATACCTCGGTGTTGAGCATCAAATAACAAATGGGGTATGTGTTAGTTGTTGCTTTTCTTTCTTGTTGATTGTCTGTTGTTGATGTAGGTCGACACTGTTTATTTATTGTCATTTGTCAGTGGTTTAGATTGTTGATGGTGCCACTGCCGTAATTCACAGAATCTGGTGCTCTGTTGGGCCGGCAAATATGTTGAGATGGCACGCCAGAAGGGTAAAAGACAGCACTGCATCAATAGGTACATGTGCATTCCTGCTAGGATGTTTCATGCTCATGTGATTAATGAAAAACTATTTCATAAAAACTGAATTCCACATTAAATCCCTAAGTAATTTATTTCATATTTCAAATAATTTCTTTTGGGCCAATCAGTTTATTTCTTCTTTTAAGCATATAATGGTTATTCCAAGTGTCAAAAGTAAAAAAAGTCACGGTTGATTTAATTTTTTCTTTAAAATAAATGAAAGAAAGGTTTTCACACAAATACAAATCAAAAGATCTTGATAAATTATTTTTAATGAAACTTCGCATATTTATTTTTAGCTTTACTATAACAAAGTTAGGGGTAGGATTAGGATTATGATATGAAAATATATTGGTTTTGACTGTAATATGTAATGAAAAAATCATGAAAACAATTGAGATTTGAACAAAACTGAGTTATGTTCCTTTATCAGTTTTCATCAAATGAAATTATTTGAAATATTGTTTAAATATGCAGGATCCATTTTATTGTATGTGGCAGTTTAATGTAACCATTGCATTATGGAACATGGTCAAACTGTCAGCTCAGACACAATTAACTTGTCTATTGGTTATGATGTGATGTTTTTTCAATTGTATTTCTTAGAAAAAAGAAGTTATTTGGAAACAGTGGGTAGTCCTGTGATGCAGAAAGTGTACGTCATCATTCAAAGGTGACTTTGTGAAGTTCTATATCAAGAAATCTCTCAGGATAGATGTGTTTATTAGTGAAAGAAAAATAATGTTAGATAGATTTTTTCTGAGGGTTAGTGAGTTTAATTGTTTAACAAATCTAACAATGTTGTAAACTGCTTAAGAATTTCAGATTGATCTTTCAATTTGAAAAATGCAATTGCTCTATCATGAATGAGAAATGTTAATCCTGCATTTAAAGCAGAGTCTTTTGTGTATATAACAGTAAATAAAATCATAAATTTTTATGATGTCTATTTACTATATTTATAAATGTACACCTACTGGAAACAAAATTGCAGTGAATTAAACAACTGGGTAATAAGCCTTAATATGTTGATGTCATCTTGTGTTGACTTAGCTGTATAGACCTGCATAAATTGTCATCGGAAAAATCATTTAAGTGAGTGAGTACTGTTTTACGCTGCTGTTAGCAATATTCCAGCAATATCACGGCGGGGGACACCAGAAATGGGCTTCTACATGTGGGGACTCAAAGCTTTAACCAGCAGGCTACCCACCACCCCAGGAAAAAATCATTGATCCCTGATTTCGTGATCAGTTTCTTGCCAGGAAACTGAGACCACCCACTGATCTGTGACATCAAAACAGCATTACCAGTCAGATCGCTGGAATATTGCAGAGTGTGGTGTTTAACAACAAACAAACAAAAACAAATGTCAATCTGCGGTGTCATGTGCTCTGACAGTGTGTACTTGTTCTGACGATCTGATTTTGGTTGAAGATCAGTGAATGTTGTCATCCACAATTCATTGTGATCAGTGTCTTGAACAGTCACTCATTTAGCCTTGATGTACTGCAAAATATTCAAAAAAGGGAATTTGGTACAATCATAATTCAACCGTTTCCTCCAGAATTGTTAGGAAATATACCAAAACTTACTTAAAAATAAATCTATACAGGAACATGTACTTCTTGTAATTATTCATGAACACTTAATACATGTTGTCGAAGTTATTTTATCTGTATCGTATATATTTATTTTCACTGACAACCCACCCATCCACACGTCAGGGTGTGTCTAATGTCTCTCTCATATAATGGTACCATTTTCCCATCAACATCTTAGATGATTTATTCCAGGATACTGTTGGTCTGACAGCTGTTTTACAAATAGGGACAAAGCGTTGCTACAGAATGAAATTGCATTGATTTTTCTGTTACCATAGTTTTGTATGTTTAGTATTCAGTTCAGTTTTCATAAAAAAAATGTTCTGTATGACATCATCGAAGAAAGACTTTTAGTTTAATTTTAATTTAGTCGTCATTTGTCATGAACAAAATTAAATCATAGCTCAAATTATCACTTGTATAAATATCATCAATTCTTTGTGCAGTGTTTTCATGTCATTTTCAGAAAATAATACATTTGTAAACAACCAAAAAAATACAAAAAATATCAAAAATGAAAATACATTTATAAAAATCAGTTCTTTTTAAGAAATAATTTTCTGTATGATACTCAAGCACAAATTCATTTCCAGGTATGTATTAGAATGCATTCCAGTGTATATAAAACAGCTTGGAGATGAGAATATTCGCTCTGTTTTAAGTATTTGCATGATTTATTATTTATTGAACACTTTTAAGAAATGTAAAATTAGAAGTTTTGATTTTTAAGCAGTTGTTTTAATTTTCTAATAGATTTATTAAGAGTTAAACAAGAACTATTTTGACTTGTCCAGTTCTGATGATTCTACTGTATATATGTATACATATAGGGTTAACTCACACATTAACCATCTAAGGGTTAACTCTTACCCACTGTCAAGTGTACATATGTATACAAAATAATATCTTCAATTTCATGCATAGTACATGCTGCAGATGAGAATAAAATTTTCTATTTCTGTACAAACAATCTGTTGTTGTGTCATATTTTTTACCGTGAGTGAGCGAGTTTGGTTTAACATTTCTTTTAGTCATATTACAGCATATCATCTCATAAAATTCTCTGTATTGTTACATTCTAATTTGACCCGTGAAGATCCAGGTTAGAATAGGTCTTCAGGTGAGGTGAAATTAGGTTTAACGTCGCATCCAAGATTATTGCACTTACATAGCGACATGCATGCCCGTGTGTGTGTGGCTGCTTGTACTAGTCCGGACTGATGCCAATTTATAGTCCTAGCTCAATGAGATACCATGCCACAGTTTCACATGAATACCCTACTCAGACACAGTATACAGACTCTGAGCCGACCAGTCCTTGTTTTAGCACCTTTATGCCGAGCGCCACAGGGTAACAACAAGTACCATCTTTTAACGTTTTTTGGTATGACGCGGCCGGGGATCGAACACCGGACCTGCCGCTCTCTGGGCAGACTCTCTACCACTAGACCACGGAGGTGGTCAGGTCTTCAGCTACCCATGCTTGCCATCAGATTGCGTAGATAGATGCTCGTGATGTCTGTCACTAGATTGTCTGATCCAGACTGAATTATTTACAGATACTCATCATATAGCTGGAATATTGCTCAGGGCACAACAAACAAACAACATTCTAATTCAACTGCCTCCATGGACTTGTGCATGGAGAATCTGCCCCGAAAATGTTGTTACAATGCCTGGCATTCGACATTAAGTTGATAAAGCAAGGATTGTTGGCTTGGAGCCTGAGTATACTGTATAACGTGTGTGAGTGGAGTGTTCATGTTAAATGGAATGTCAGTTGGCTACCACTATAAAACTGACATAACTAATTATTAGTACAGACTAACACACACACACACACACACACACACA